ACTTTATATTATTAATTTAATAAAGATGCCTAAATTTATTAGAATACTTAAATTGATTCTCCAGTAAATTTTACAAGCACAGGCTAAATATCATTAGACAAATCATTAAATTATAATGCAAAATGCAAAAATAATTTATAATATACATTTTATTTTATTTATAAACTTTAAAAAAATATTAATATTAAAAATAGAATTCTTATTTAACACAAGTTAAGATATATTAGAAGAAAAACATATTAATAAGTTTTAATAGACAAATATTAAAATTCATGCATATTTTAATTTTTTAATGTTTTTGAAAATGATAAAAGAAGGTAAATCTACGAAATAAGCTTTTAATATGAATAAAAAAAATCCAAATAACTAAGATTTAGGCAACAATTAGAATATTCTAACTAAAAAGTAGAATTCTAATAATTCTAATTTATATTAAAATAAAATACTTTCTAATAAAACCTTTAGTGAAATAAAAACTTAAGATATTTAATAAGAGAATGAATATAAAGAATAAAGTTTGGAAATATAAAATCTGAATAATCAATTAAATTAATAAAAGTAATTAAATTAAATTTATGAAATTAAAATAAATGATTTAATGTTTGAAAAGATTAAATTAAATGAAAAACTTATTTAAATTTAATAAAAATATAATTAAAATCCTCTTATAAAAATTACAATGGAAAATCCTTAAATAGTTTAATATTTAAATAAAAAGTTATCATAAGAAGCTTATGATTAATAAAAAATACTTTAACTTGAATAGCAGTTAAATGAAAAAAATCTATAAATACAATAAGGTAATTATTTTTATTTTAAAATAAATTTATTTAAAAAAAATAAAAAAGTGGAAGAATTATTACAAAAATAAAAAATAAATAAAACATGAAATATATTAATGAATAAAATAAACATATTATTACGAACAAAAACCTTTTTAAAAACGATTAAATAATAAATAAAAAAATATATAGATAATTTATAAACTGTATAAATATCATTATTATATTAAATATTATAATTATAAAAACAATTATATTTTAATATTAATTTAAAAAATAAGATTTCATCATTAAATATTTATAATATTCTTTTGAATAAAAAAAAATATTATTATTAAAGTATTAGATTAAATATTATTGTATTGCAATAAATATAAAATATTATGATCACATTAATATATTTTTTTTTATAATAATAATTTTAATTTATACTTAAAATATTAATTTATTTTTATTTAATAAATAAAAATATTCTTCTTAACTTTTTTACAATATGTTGATTGTAATTTTATATGAACAAAATTTTAAAATAAATATTATATTATCATGTATTTATTTTGTATAATTTAATTGAAATTTTATATAAATAAAATAAAAATCATTAAATTATTAATTAAAATTACTTTATATATAAATTTGTTATTTATTTACTTTAAATTTATTAAAGTTATTTATTTTTATAATTATAGTAATCAATTTATAAGAAAATTAATATAATATTTTTGTTGATGAGATTGTAAAAGGTCTAAATATACCTTCTATAAATATTAAAATGTAAATATGATTAAATACATTATATGAAGATATATAAAATTTGAATAAAGTATCTCTAAATATAAGAAAGAACAAAAAAACACTAGCGAATAAATTAAAAAACTATTTTTTTTTTTGAAATACTTAAACAAATATTTTATTAGATTATAATAAATAAAATAAAATTTTTTAGAAAAAATATGGTGTGAAAGTTTGTTATTAATTCTTAAAGGATAATAATAAAAAAATTAATGAAAAAATTAGAAAACATAAATATATATGTGTTTCGTTTAATAAGAAAATAAATAAAATAATAATACTTTATATATTTTTTTTATGTTTTTTCATAATGTTATATAATTATAATTATATATTTAATTTATATTTAATTTAAATTAATAGACTAAACTTCATAATTTAATATGTTAACCTAATTTAGAATTTATATAGGTATAATACTAATGATATTTAATTTAAATATATATAAATATTGTTTTTATATTTTAATTTATATACATAATCTTTAACTCTTAATAAATACATATAAAAACCATACTTTATTTTATTAATATTTTCTTAAATTAAAATAAAAAATATAAAATTAAATTTAAGAAAAAATATAAAATATTTTTAGAAAATATAAAATAGCTTTAATTAATTAATTTACATGCAAAACACATATATTTTTATCAAAAATATTTATATTAAAAAATAAAATATTTAAACTTAATAAAAAATAAAAAATACTTATAAATAAAAAATCAAAATTATAAATATTTTTTATTTATTATAAAAATAGTATTTAGTTTTATATTAAATAAATTTATAATAATTAATTTTTAATACATATGAACAATTTTTAATTTAATAATAATCATTAAATTAATTTAATATAATATACATATTATAAAAAAAAACCCTAATTGAAGAAAAAATGAGTATTCTTAAATCTTAACAATGTACAAATTATAAAATAACTTTTTTATTTTTTTGAAATGTTTACAAAAAGCATATTTATAAATATATTCTTTAAATAACAATTAAAAATTATAATATCAAATATAAATTATTTTAAAATTCATAATATAAAAATTAAAAAAGCAAATGATACTATAATCTCAACTAGAATGACTGACAAATCAGATTTAAATAATTAAGATATTTTTTAATTTGAAAAACTTAAATAATTATTGGATATAAATCCAGAGGATCGTACAGATGAAATGTGTATAACGATATCAGATTATATTCAAGTAATAATAAATTCTTAGTTATGAAAAATAATTTTTTTATTTTTGTATACCAATTTTTTAAAGGATGTATAATTTTTGTAAAAATATAGAAATACTCCAGAATATTTAGAATTGTGTAGATATTTATATATAAAAACATTTGAATCTTAAGAATATGTTTTTAAATAAGTAAAACATTTAAAATTATAATTATTTTTATCATAATTAAAATAATAATTAATATAAAAAGGGAGATGTAGCTGATGCATTTTATATTATTATAAACGGAGGAGTTACTATATATATTGATGAACCAACATAATATAAAAATTTTGTTTAATTGGTATTAAATATTAATTTTAAAAATAATAAATTTTATCTATTTTACAAATAAAAATAAATAATATTTTATTATATTAGAAAGAAAAGAATAAATTAAAAAGAGGTGCAGCATTTGGAGAAATCGCACTTATAACTAATTCTAAAAGAACTGCAACCATTATAGCTAATTAGCCCACAGATTTAATTGTTTTAGAAAAAGATGTATTCTAAGCTTTTATTACTGATAAAAAAAGTTTGCATCTCTAAAAATTGCAATAGTTTTTAGAAAGTTTACAATTATTTACTCTTATTCCAGAAGAAAATATATTAATAGAAATTACTACTAAATGTTAAATAAAACAATATGCTTCGAATACAATAATAATGGTTACTTTTTTAAATAACAAATAAAAAATTATATCTTTAATTCAAAAAAAAAAAAGAGATAAGGTGATGATTCAGCAGCAATTTATTTTGTAAAAAAAGGTTTAATAAAAGCAGTAAAATAAATACCATTTAAATATAGCCATAAATCAAAATAAAAAATACCTTTTGATATTTCAGAACCAGATAAAGATTATAATCCAACAATAAATTATGAATCTGATTATGAAGATTATTATTAGAACGATTTTATAGAAATAGATGAATTTGGTTTTTACTTTTTTCTTTAAAAATATACATTTTAATTTTTTTAAAAAAAAAATAAAGGTGAAGGTGATGTATTTGGAGATTATTCAATATTTTATTCTGAACCTCTTGAATATAATGCTATTAGTTGTATACCATGTGAATTAGTTTATATATCAGTTTTTGATTTGAATAAAATAATTCCAGAAGAGAATTTTAATTTATATAAAAATTCATTAAAGAAATATCCTTCAAATTAAGATTTAAAATAAATATATTGGGAAAGAAAGAATTGGGAAGAATATCGAAAAGAGCTCGTAGATAATATATAAATAGATAAATAGAATAAAAAAGGATACGAAAAATCACTTAGAAAATCAATTCCTAAATACAAACTTGGTGATATTCCGTTTAATATGGTAGACATATAAATACATGATAATAGAATGTATTTTAATATTATGGAGCAAATGTGTTATTCTGAATCATAAGGAAAAGATTAAGAAAAGCTGTAGCTTGATGTATTTTTTTTTTAATATAAACTATTCATATTAATTTATTAAATTAGAATTAGTAACCCAAAAAATAATTTTAAAGTATTGAAAAATAAATTATTTAAGATCTTAATTATTTTAATGGATGTATTTAAAATCTTAAAGGAGGAAGAAGGCTTACGGATAGAGCTTCGTTTTTTAGTTTAAATAGTCCTAAGAAGAGTCCTAGAATTAGTATTTTTAATAGATAGAATTAATATATAAAAGAAAATTAAAGTTAAAATAGTAGATTATATAGATTTTCTAAATAACCTAATAATAGAAGTAATAAATCTAAACTAATGAAGGAAATCCAAGAAAATACGTATCTTATGAGTAATAATAAACTATCGATTTTCAAACAGCCATACATATAAAATCCTGAAGACATAAGAAAATCTGAGTTTGTCAAATTACCAAAAATATAATAAAAATTTGATAAAATAAATTAAAATTGAATTATTAAATTTAAAATAACAATATATTTAATTATGGGCATATAAATAATTATTAATAATCAAATTGTTTTATAAATTAACGAATACATAAAATTTATTAATTAAAATTGTTTTAGTATTTCAATATTCTTTTTAATTAAAATATTAATTATTTTTTTAAGAATAAATTATATTTTAAAAGTTTTGAAATTTCATTTATATTCACTCTAATCATTATTTTAGTTTAAATATTTATAAAATTCTTAAAAATCATATTCTTAATTTTCAATATTTAATAATTATTTTAAATTTTCATCTTTCTCTTTGTCCAAATTTTTCACTTTATTTTCCTATTAAATTTAAATTTATAATTCTTTTTTTTTATAAAAAAATTATTTTTATTTATTATCTAATTTAAAATATAATTTTATATATATTCTACCTTAATAAAGTGGATTTTTATGTAAAGGAAAGCTATTTTTTCTTATAAAGCCGTTTTTTCTTTATAAATGACAATTAATAACATTTAAATTATGTAAAGAAATTTCATTTATATCTTTAGCAACTTTAATAGCTATGCAAATATTTTTCCATTTCTTATCAATTACAGTATACTTTGGTTTAATTAATACTTTAATATAAACGCCTTTTAACTAAACTTCTGGAGTTTATCTCCAATTTTCTATTCTTTTTAAATAATCTACTAAATTATCTGCGTCTTGTTGATTTTAGTATAATATAATTTGACTTATATCTGTTAAATCATTTATCTGTAATGCCATGTAATTTTATTCTCCTTAAATTGTATATGATTTTCCATATGATATATCACACACATGACCTACTAATAAGGCTTACTCTATTGGAAAGCCATCTATCTCAAGTCTCAAATTAATATTTTGAATACATTAATTTAGCATTTTACATGTTAATGGTATTGTTGATTGGCTCCATTTTTATTCCCTCTTTAATTTTTTATATATAAATGTTATTTTTTTATTTATACTTCATAATGGTGTGTTGATGAAGCTCTTTGTTTTCCTTCTGGAGATATTAAGCCTCCATATGGTATAAATTATAACTTTTAATTAATATTATTTGGTATTGTTTGATGATTCATTAATATAAAGATATGTTTTTCTTTGAAATTATAATAAAAAAATTAAATAATTTTAAAATCCAAAACCATAATAAATATTATTATATGTAAAAGTTAGCTTTATTAATTCAGATATTAAATTTATAACTTTATTAAAATAAAAAATGTTTAAGTTTATATTAAGATTAAATAAGATATTAAAAATAATATGATATAATTTTAAATATTAATTAGATTTATTTTGAGATTAGATCTTAATCTAATTATAATAATAAATTAATATTAATTATAAATTTTTTTTATAATAATAAAAATTTTATAAATATTTTTATTAACTTAAATTGTTGATGATTTTTTATAACTTAAGTTTTATTTATTAAAATTTTTTTTAAAAAGTTTATTAAAAGTACTCAATTTTTCTATTTTTATTAAATATTTACTTTATTTTTTTATTTAAAATTACTATTTTTCATTTTTTATATTATTATTTATTAATTAAAATTCATTAAAATTTTATTTGGATTTTATTTCAAATTAATATAAAGGCTTTAATATAAAAAATTAATATATATATAATATATATATATATATATATAATTATAAAATAATTTACAATATATTGATTTTTTTAGTTTTATTTTGATAAATAAAATTATCCATACAGCAATAATATGTAAACAAAAATTATGTTGATTATACAAGTATATATTCTAATGCCATAATTGACATTTAAAATAAAAAATATTAAAAATATAATATAAATAAATAATAATAAATATGTTAAAGAAAACAAAATTTATTTTGATTGTAAAAAATTACGCAATATTGAAATTTTGCATTTTATTGAACGCAAAATTTAAAAAAAGCTTAATTATTTTTTCATAATAAAGATTAAAAATAAAGCTAAGGTTTAGACCATATCAAGTTCCGAACATATTATTGTAAATAATCAAGAAGATTTTGTAATTTTTACAATTATTACAAAGTAATAGCAAGTTAGCAAGTTCGCATATATTTAGTAATATTATGATGGTTAAAGTTCGAGTTTATTAGTGTTAATTAATGTTTATTATCGGTATTTTATATTAGAAATATATATAGGCTTTAGTTTTCTGAATATAAAATGAATAATTCATCATATATTTAAAATTAATTATGAAAAAATGGGTAGTTATTTTATTACTTATTTTAGGATTTTGAAATATAAAATTTTAAGGAATTTTTTAGTTTATTAAAATCATGCTTTATTTTAATATAGCATTTAGCTTTTTATTAAATTTGCATAATATTTTGATTATTTTATATATTCCTATTTTATTTAGAATAATTTTTATATTTATTAAAAAATTCTAGTATGACATATTTATTTGATATGATTTTACTTATTTTATTTTTTAATTCACAATTATTAAAATTTTACATTATTTTATTTTTAGAATTAAATAATTCAACATTCTCAAATTCTTTATAAACTTAAAGCTTCAATTCTGACTATTTTAACATTGCTTTTGATTTTTTATTTATGAAAATTTTAAAAGGCAAAAATAGTTAAAATTACGTAAAATGCACAAAAAGAAACCTAAAAAAAGTTTTATACAGAAAATAAAAGTAAAGATTGAAGTTTTGGAAAATAATTATAGAAATCCTTTAAGAAAAAAATATTATTGAAAACGAGAAATCTATAAAGCTTTATAATTTTTTCAAATAAGATTTAAAATTAAAATATCTTTATTAATATAATTTTAAATTTATACAAATTATAAAATAATTAATTTTATTTTCTATCATTTTCACATATAAAAATTTAAGAATATTACTTGAGTTCATTTTTCTTAACAAATTTAAAATCTTGTAATGAAATAATTCACTACTACAGGCTATATTATTAGAAAAAAAAATATTATTTGTTTTTACTATATTAGTTACATTTGATATAATACATCTTATATAAAAAAACAACATTAAATAGATATAGAAAAAAATATTTAAAAGAATTAGGTAATATACATATGAATAACAATCTTTTAGATAATAAAGATTAAAACGTATTTAAAAGTTAAAATATTTAAACCTTTTAAATATTAAATTAGTATTACAAAAATTAAAATAAATAATTTGTAATTGAATAAAACATAAAGTAAAAAAAATAAGATATAATTTTAACAATAAAATCTTTTTTAATTATTTTTTTATATTTAAACTAAAATTAATAATAATTAAGATTCTTAATATTTTCTTTTTTCTTTAAAAATTATATAATTAAAATATAAAAAATAAAATAAATAGACTGATTAAAAAAAGAAAATAAATTAATACTCTAAGTAATAAAAGAATTGCTAAAATAAAAACATATATACACATTTTATTAAAAAGGAAAAAAATTTAAAAATAAAAAGGAAAAAAATATCTTTTTTAATTTAAATATAAAATAATATAAAAAAAATGAGTACAAATAAAGCTTTTGTAGGACAACCTGCTCCACAATTCGAATCTCCTGCATGGGATAACGGAATTAAAACCGTAACTTTAAAATAATATGAAGGAAAATATGTTGTATTATTTTTTTATCCTTTCGATTTCACATTTGTATGCCCAACAGAAATCATTAACTTTTCTGAATCCGCTGAAGTATTTAGAAAAATGAACTGCGAGGTGATAGGATGCTCCATTGACTCACATTTTGTACATGCTGAATGGTGCAAAAAACCAAGAAAAGAAGGAGGTTTAGGAAACATGAATATTCCTTTAATAGCTGATGTTTCTAAATAAGTATGCAGTGATTACGGAGTGCTTATTTAAGATGGACCTAATAAAGGAGCTGCTTATAGAGGTACTTTTATAATAGATACAAAGGGAATTATTAGACATGTTTCAATCAATGATTTACCTGTTGGAAGAAATATCGATGAATTAATTAGACTTGTTTAAGCATTCTAATATGTTGATGAAAACGGTGAAGTATGCCCTGCTAAATGGAAACCTGGATAAAAATCTATGGTTCCTGATCATAACAGTTCTAAATTAAAAGAATATTGGGAAACTGAACATGCTAAAAATTGATATTAATAAAAGCTAATTTTTATAAAATATTATATAAAAATTATATTAAAAAGTTATTATTAAGTAAATAAAGAATAATAAAAACAATTAAATAATGATTTATATATAAATATAATAAAATATTTTTATTAACTTTTTTAATAATATATAATATATTATTAGAAAAAAATAATATTAATAATATCCAAATATAAAAAATAATATTAAAAATATAAATAATTTATAATATATATTAAAATTTTAACTTAATTATGTATTAAAAAAATAAAGATATTATAGATCATAATATATAAAATTTATATATATATATATTTTTTTTAATAAATAAATAAATCAAACTTTTATACATAATCCATTTATTTATGTAAATCCTTCATTACATTTTGAGCAAGTATTATTATCATCATTAACACAATTAAAACAGTTTGGAACTACACAATATCTTATACAAGTATTTTCTACTTAAATAGTACCATTAGGGCATGATCTTATACATTTTCCTTTTTTAGCACTAAATCCACTTATACATTTTTTACATTAATTGTTTAAACATTCTAAGCAATTAAATATTTCACAAGCTTTTTAAACACAATTTCCGTTTGAATTTTAAGTTCCGGATGGACAACTAGCAAGACACTCATTTTAATATAAAATAAAGCCAGAAGAACACTTAAGACATTATTCTAAATAACTACATTCAATACAATTTTCATTAATACATGTTTTAACACATAAGCCATTTACTAAAGAAAAACTTTAATTGCAAAAATTACAAGTATTATTTGCTCCACATATAATGCAATTTTGTTCAGAACATATTTATTTTAAAAAACATTATCCTTAATAGAAAATATAATTGGGTTAGCATTTTAAGCATTAAGTTGAATCACATTCATCACAATTATTTTACAAACATTTTAAACATTAATTAGAATAGTGATACTATTAATTATAATAAATAACTATAGCTTATTTTAAAGAGTTGCATTCTTTTTCACATAAATTATCTTTCAAATAAGGGAAGTTTTAATTACATAAAATGCATTCATTTTAATTACAATATATGCAATTAAGAGGACAGGCTTTACAAGAAACTCCATCAAAATAAAATGTATCATTACAAACACATTAACCATTCTATAATTAAGAATTTAAAGGACAAGAAGTACATTAATTTAATAATGAGCCTATACATTCTAAGCAAGATTAGCTACATTTTTGACACTAATAAAGAATAAAATCAATAAAGAACCCAGAAGGACATTAATTTATACATTCTTATTTATCAAAAGATAGAATAAGACCATCTTCGCATTTCAAACATTTATCAGAATCACAAAATTTGCAATTTTAAGTACATTATATATTGGATTTTTAAGTAGCAATTATACAATTATCATCTTAATCTTATATATATCCTGTTTAGCAGATACAACTATCTCCTGTATATCCTGGCTAACAAAAGCATTTATTATTAACACAAAATCCATTTCCATTACAATTATTATAACAAGTATTTTCTCTTTCACAAAATCTTTTTATATTTTAAGGACAATTCAACGTTCCAGTTCCATCTTAAGTAGGAGAATTAATAACTTAACCATCAGAAGTACATTTAATTTAATTATTTCCAATAAAAATAGTTAATGTTCCGTCAGAATTACATTTTTGTTTGTAACAACGTATGCTAAAATATAAACTTTAACCTCCAGTTTTTATATTTATATTACTTTTGAAACATCTAGATTATTTAGAATATACTTCTCCAGAATATTAATCTTACAAAGGATGAGAATTATTAGGGTTATTGCATTAGGATTTTGATATTGTTTAATAAATATTACAACCATCACTATATTAAGAGGAAATACAAGTTGAATATCCTGTATTAAAATCATCACAAGAATCATAACCACTACAAAAAACATCATATTTTTAAGTTTAACTTTTGCAAGCTAAATAAAAGAAGTCACATCCTAAATCATATCCTGCATTTATTTTAGCCATATCATAATTAACACTTTCATAAAATCCACTGTCATCTAAAAGAGCAATAGTTGTTTTTGTAATATAAGCGATTCCTTAAACTAAAGAAGGTCCCATAATCTCGTTTGAAGCTATAGCCTTTTCCCAATGAGAGCCTACACTACTTGAAGTTCCTTAATTTTCTAATTTCATTCCTTCAGCATCTTCACATGCATAAAGTTCTTTTACTGCTTTTAATACTTTAGGTGTTTTTATAAATTAGGTAGATAATCCTCTTACTTATTTAGTTATTAAGATTTCTTGTAAGGAGTAGTATTTGCCAGTAGCTTTGTTTATGAAGTAAGGATATATATTATCAGAAAAGCCCAATAAGTGAATTACTTCATGAATAATAAGTTATGTATATCTATTGAACTTTCCTTCATTAAAATTTATTCCATTAAAATTTTATTTATTTAGATCTATTTTACCATGTGAAGGACGAGGAAGCATTTGACAAACAGTGGCACTCGCATAAAACGAGTTTGATTAATCTGATGCTACAACTATTATATGTAAATCACTATTAGGGGTTCCATATTTTCTTGATTCATCTTATTCATCTATAATTACTCCTGCACATTAATTCATATAAAATATATTTGTAGTTAGTTGTTTAACTTTTAATAATTCAGAAAAATATCTTTTAACTACCAACAAAATCTTTTCTATTTATTATATAAATGATTAGTCAAAAGTTTATAATAAGAATTTTGTGTTAAATGTCACTCTTAAAGGCCCAATTTATTGTTATTATTAAAGGCTTCTGAAATTATTATTACTTTTTATTTTTTATTAGCTAACTATTATTTTAGAATAATCTTATTTCTGATGTTAGCATTAATGTGACAAAATCAAAAGAATTTAAGTTAAAAATATTAATAATCTAAACATATATGAACTTTATTATTTATTTTTTTATTATTATAATATTTTATGTTTATGTTTTTGATTTAAAATATAATTTATAAGCAAGTATTTAAATTATTAAAACTTATGTATAATTTAAATTGCATTTTACCTTAAATTATATTTAAATTTCATTAAATTTATAATATATATAATTCTATAAGTTTTTTATAAAAAACTATATTAAAATATTATATATATATTTAGCACATAATAATTATATAAAAATTATTATTATATAAACAAAATAAATCGCTTTAGATTCTTATAACTTGAAAAATGATAATTAATTAATTAATTATAACATTTTATTTTTTTAATAATTGATTTTGATAAAAATCTATTTTTTTAATAATAACATATTTTTATAAGTTAAATGAAATAAATACTCTCAAATCAAATTAATTTAAAAAAAAAAAGTAATAAAAAAAAGAAAAAATGAAAAACAAAGAAATAAAGGAAATAAACATTATTATTTATTTTATTTGTCAAAAATAAGAAATTTAATATAAAACTTAAAATATAAAAATCCTATAATTTTTTTTTTTATTTAAAAATATATTTCTCAGATTTACATGTTAGGCAAGCATAGATGAATATTACAAATATATATTTTATAAATCATACTTTATAGGAAATTTTTTTTTTTTAAATTTACTTATAATTACATATATTAAATAAGTTTTTGCTTATTAACTAATAATATATAATTAAAATAGATAAAAGCAAGTTGAATTAATTATTTAATTAAATTAACCATAATTAAATTTAAATCATTTAATTATTTGATTTCAATGTTTATATTCTTATTTAATATCAATATAAAGGCAAATAAAATTATATAAAAACATTCGTGAATATTAAAATAAAAATAAATATAATTTTTTCAATATATTTGAAATATTTCTTTTTAAGAATTATTATAAACCAAATTATTTAAATTAAAATTTATTGTCTTATTTTGATAATTAAATATTATATTTTATTTTAAATATATAATTAATATATATATCTTTTATGTTTTAATATTATTAAAAATACTTTTTATATTTAATTTGTTTATTTTTCTATTTTATGTAGTCAATAATAGAAAATTATGCCTATTTTATTTATTACTTCAAATTTGAAGATAATAAATTTCTTTTTATTGATATAAATAACATTTCTTTAACTTCAAGTCATTTAGAAAATATATTTAAAATATAAATGTAAAAAATTTTTAGATTTCAATACGCAAAAATTATTAAATTTTTCAATATCTCAAAAATCTAATAGTTTATAAAATATAGATAAAAAAATTATCGTTAATATGAATAAAAATAAAAAAAAAATTATCTTTTGATTATAGCAATAATAAATATTAAAATAATACATTAATAATTGCATCTATTATTCCATTAAAATGAATTATTTACTAATTTAATTTTCTTAATTTTATATTTTTTTATTATATATTAAAATTAAATGTTAAATGATTTTATTTTATATTGGTTTCTTCAATATTTTAAGGAATTAATTTTTAATGTTTATTATTCGATATTCAATAATTATAGGATTTAAAAAAATAAATAATAAAAGTTTAAATTTTATTACTTATAAAAAAAAAAATCAATATTATTAATAATCTTAAAAAAAATTAATTTACATAATTAAAAATAATAACAAAATAAATAATTCCTATTTATATCATAATATATTAATTTTTATTTAAATAAAAATGATATTAATATAAAAATTTATATCTATTTAAAAATAGAGAATATTCCCATATATTATTCCATTTGTATTCTAAAAAAAGTAAATAAACAAAAAATTCAACTTTAATTTATCTTTTATTAAATTTCTTAAACCTTTTTTAAATAATGTCAAGCTTTTCTACTTTTTTTTCTATCTAATCTAATTTAGATTCAAATTCTTCAGCTTTAGTTTAGAAACTACTTTCATTATTATGCTTAAAGTTAGAGTCATTTAGTATTTTTCTATTAATTTCATCCAAAATATTTTTTTCAATACTTTTAGCTAATTCCTTTTAGGAATTTTGAATTTCATTTTATACATAAACTTATAAATTTTCAATAGATTTTTATGTTTCTTCAATTTTTAATTTATCGTATTAATCTTTTAAATAAAGTTCAGTTTTATATGTGCTATCCAGATTATTAAAATTTTCTTTTAATTAATTAATTTCTTTTAAAAAGAAATCTTATTAAGTATTATATTTAAAATCATTTTCCTCAACATATTTTATGTATTTATAATTTTATTCCTCTATTAAAGTTTTTATTTATTGATTTAAATATTTTTTATTGCTTTCTAAACTTTCATTTAGTAAAATTTATAAATCTTCTATGCTTTTGGTCCTTTCATTTTATTCATTTAAAATAAGAGATTTAATAAGCATATTTTACGCTTCAATCTTTTATTAAAGGGTTTACATAAGCATATTTTTGATTGTATTTTCTTAAGTATCTATTTCATTTTATTTTTGAAGTTAAATATTATTATCTTTAAGCAAATTTTCATTCACTTTTTCAAACAATTTTTAATTTTGAATATTTAAGTTTTTTAAATCTTCTTTTAATTTTTAAATTTCATTTTCAAGGTTTTCTTACTTACTTTAAAGATTTTTTTATGAATATTTATCTTGTTAATTTGCTAAAAATTGATATTTTTATGAAAAAAATTAAATTTAATTTTTTAAATCATCAGAAAGATTTTTTTCTAAATTATTTAATGACTAATTAAAAAATTAATATTTTTAAGTATTTTCATTAATAAACTAATTTTATTAGTTTAGGATTTTTTAACTTTCTTTATCAATTTTTTCATTTAAATATATTTTTATTTTTCTTAGATTTTCATTAAGATCCCATTCTAATTTATCTAATTTTTCTTACGTTTTTTTGTCTGTAATCTCATTATTATTTTCCAATCTTTTGATTTACTTTTCACAAAAATCCCTTTCTTTTTAATTATCTTAATTTATTTTTTATATAGTTTTTTCCGATAATTCCTAAATATTTTCCTTTACGAAATTTTTAGCCTTTTCGAAGAAAATATCATCCTATTATTTCGAAATACGTTCAAGTTTTATGTTTCCTTATTATATTTTTTCTTCTAATTTTTCTTTTTATTCGCCTAGTTAAAGTTCTATATTTTCGTGTACTTTTTTTACATGTTCTTGTATATTTTTTAGTAAACTCTCATTTAATTTTTACAAATGAAAGAATTCTTCTTTATTTTATTTTTATTTTTCAACGGAGTCTTTTTTTTCTTTATTTAATTCATATTTAAGTGCTTTTAAAGCATTTGAAAATTCCTAAAAAATGTCGAAATTTTTCTTTTCAATATTCAAAATTTAGATATCGATTTTCTCCTATTAAATTTTTACACTCTCAGCCAAATTTAATTCCAATTTTTATATCTTTTCTTCCTTTTAATTTTACCATAAACCCATTTTCTAAAATTATTCTAATTAAGCATTCTTAACGACCTCTTCATGATTTTAGAAATTAACTTTTATATCATTTATATTTTCATGCATTTCCTATTATAAAGAAATAACGTTATTTTGTTAATTAATCACTTCTTAGTTGATATTGTCCATTTAATTTTAAAGGTTTTTTATATTTTATACAAAAAGAGTAGTTGTCTGAGCTAAATTAGCTTCTAATTCTTCTTTATTAAATTTCTGTATATCTTTTATTGCTTAAAAGCTAAATTAAGTATTTTTAAGGACTTCGTTTTCTCCAAAAAGGATGTTTTTTTATTCATTATGGATTTCTTCTTTTAATAAAATCATTTATTATTCTAGAAAAATTCTAATTTCATTTTCTTAATTTATCCTATTTTAAACTTCACTTTCCCACTTTCTTTCTAACTAATTAATAAATTACTTCAAGTATTCATTTTCTTATATAAATTTATCTAACTTTACATCTTCGAGTTATTTTATTTAATTTTTATGACTTCGACTTTCCTCAAGAATATTTTCACGTGTTTTTTGTAATTTTTAAAGCCAATCTTTTTCTATTTCTACTATTTTTTATTGTATAAATTGCATATTTTTTACTATTTCATTTATTTATCCTTAGTTTTATTACCTATTTTCTATTTTCAATGGCTCTATGACCTTTCTTTAATTATTTTCGATATACTATTTATCATTTTGTACCTATATTTGGTTTTGTATTGCTATAACTTATTATTTTAAACGCATATTCTCGGTTTATACTTCATGGAATTTATTATATAATTCAACTTATTGTAAATTTGTTTCTTCTTATTGTTTTCTAAAAACCTCCTTTATAATTGATTATTAATCTTAGATTATTGAATTTAATTATTTTTATTCTTTTTGTTAATAAAGTTCAGTATCTTCTATTTTTTTTAAACTTTGGGTATATTTTTGAGGTTATTAATCATATATTTTAATTATTTTTCTCTCTAATTAATTTTTTATATCAATTATAGTGGTTTCTAAGTCTCTTATTTTTTAATTTATATAGTAAATTTCTGTTACATTTGTTGAGGGAAGTATTTATGCTTTGGGAACTTCTGTTTCGTTTATATGTACAGATGGTGATAAAGGAGTTTTATATATTTAAAGTTAGTTTAATTAGGGTAAATTTGTTATTTCGTTTCTTTTTTATCTTTAAGATGATTAATTCATTTTTTTTTTTATAATTTGAAATTTTAATAACTTTTTGTTTTGAAATATGTTTTATTTTTTTTTTTAAATAAATATTTTTATTTATTGAAAACCAATTAAATGTTTAATAAAACATTTTTTATAAAATAAATTATTATTATTATTATTTAAAAAAAAAACAAGAATCAATTGTAAAATATATTTGAAATTAAAAGACATTAATTTGCAATTATTAATAAAAATGTATTTTTTCATTTATTTAAAATGTATTATTTATTTTTTTATTCAAATAAAAAAAAACTAAATATTATGTATTTAATAAAAAAATATTAGTTTTTTTTACTTTCCAATATCATATATGTAAATATAAAAAAGAGAGAAAATTAAACTCAATTATCAGTCATTTTTCTAAAAGCAATATTAGAATCTTCAACGAATTTATTAACATATTATGCTATTTCCTATCTACTCATTTTAGGGCTCAAGAATTTCATTTAAGTAAGTTAAGTGAATAAAGACTTAGTTTCAAGTTAAATATAATTCCAATTCAATTTAGTTTCACCTGAAGACTCAATAATAGCTTTTCTTGCTAAATCATAATAAGTAACAATACATCTCATCATACCTGCAGTTTTATATAATGGGCACATATAATCATAAGTTGAAAAAGCATCTTATTAGAGGAAATCTTCTCTAATGATTTTGGCGATTTCCAAACTTAATTTTTAATCTTCTGAAAGTGAATCTCTTCCGACTAATTACACAATTTCATTTAATTCAGCTTCTTCATGTAGAATTTCTTTAAGTTAAGTTCTCAAATATGAAAATTCAGGATCAAAATCATTAAAGTAAGGATCTAATTACCTTTCATAGTTTGAAGTAGAAATATTCCAGTTTACACTTGGAAAATGTTTTCTTTAAGCCAATTTCTTATCTAAACCCCAAAAAACTTGCACTATACTCAAAGTAGCTACAGTAACTGGATCTGTAAAATCACCACCAGGTGGAGACACAGCCCCTACTATAGAAATCGAACCTTCTCTATCAGGACTTCCAAAACATCTAACTCTTCCAGCTCTTTCATAGAAATAGGCTAGTTTATTAGCCAAATAAGCAGGATAACCAGCATCAGCAGGCATTTAGGCCAAACGACCTGAAATTTCTCTTAAAGCTTCTGCCCATCTGGATGTTGAATCAGCCATCATACTTACATTGTAACCCATATCTCTAAAATATTCAGCGAGTGTAATTCCTGTGTATATGGAAGCTTCTCTAGCTGCGACAGGCATATTGGAGGTATTGGCAACTAAGCATGTTCTCTACATAATAGATTCTTCCTTTCCTTTCACTACAGTAGTCAATTCTGGAAACTCACTAAGTACTTCTGCCATTTCGTTTCCTCTTTCTCCACATCCGACATATATAATGACTTCGGAGTTCGAATATTTCGACAAAGCTTAAGAAATGCAAGTTTTTCCGCAACCAAAAGCACCAGGAATGGCACAAGTACCTCCTAAAACGGAAGGAAAAAGACTATCTAATACTCTCTATCCGGTTAAAAGTGGAGTATTTCCTGCTAGTTTTTCTTAAACGGGTCTAGGTTTTCTAACAGGCCAAAAATGAGACATGCAAAATTTGGATTTTTTTCCATCAAACTCGGTTTCAAGGATTGTTTCGTGGATATTATAATCACCTTCAGGGGCTATATATGTTACTGCTCCTTTGTTTCCTGGGGGAATCATGATTCTGTGTTCTGTAAATAAATTATTCTCGTGACAAGTTCCATATATATCTCCACCAGTGACCTTAGAACCTATACGTACGTTTACAGAAGGAACAAAATGCCAAAGCTTTTTACCATCCAAAGCTGGAACGTCAGCTCCTCTTGGGATAAATACACTCTAAGATACATCAGCAATAACTTATAATGGTCTTTAGATACCGTCAAATATTTCAGTGAGAATTCCTGGTCCTAATTCAACAGATAAGGGCTCTTTAGTTCTCATTACTGGATCTCCTACTGTTAATCCATAGGTGTCTTCATAACATTAGATAGAAGCTGTATCTCCATCAAGTTTAATGATTTCTCCGACTAATTTATTCCATCCTACCTTTACGAGTTCGTACATTTTTGCACCGGTCATTTGTTCAGCTACGACTAGAGGTCCAGCCACTTTGTATACTTTTCCGAATGATGATTCTTTTTCAGCTATTTCTTCTAGAGCTGTTTTTCTTTACATGTATTAGTTTTTTTTATTATATTTTTAGAAAATTTAATTTAATATATGTTTTTATTTTTTGTAAAATATTATTTATTTTTAATTTTATTTTTATTTTTTAGTTTTAATATAAATATAAATATATTTTTTTATAAATATTATTTTTCCTCTAAATTTTAAATGATTTTTTTTATTTGATAAAAATAAATAAAAATTAGAAATTTATTTTTTTATTTATAAATTGTTTTTTAAATAATTTAAAATAAATCATATTTTTTTAATAACATTATAATTAATTGCAATTTTTATATTATTTTAGATTAAATATATATAAAAAAATCATTTAGTTTAGTTTTTTTAAATAAACTTTAAAATATTTATTCAGAATAAAATATAGTTTCTAAAAATTAATATTTTAATTTTAACTATATCTTTTATTTTAAAATAAATAAAAATATAAAATAGCTAAAAAATTAAAATAAGAACAAGTAAATAAATCATATTTTAAAATAAATATATATTTTAAAAAAATTAAATCTATATTTTATTTTATTTATATATTGATATGTTATTTAAAAATTAATAAAGTATTTATTTTAAGATTAAATAAAAACAATAAATTACATATACTTTTATTTAAAAAAAAAATTTCAACAGCAATAAGACTTCGATTACTCCTTTTTATAACTACTTAAAGGTGTTGCCAATTATTATGATTGATATGATTATTAGCTTGATGATTCATTATATTCTGATCCAATTTTAACGCCTTAGTTCTTTTAAAATTTAAAATTTATACAAAATTAAAATATATTACTAAGTCTCCTAATTATATTTATTAATTTTTTATCAACTATTCGATTCGCTCAGAAATTTTAATAAAAGCATTATTTACACTTTCATTATTATTAGCTGTTAGTTCAAAAAAAAGTAAATTATTTTAATGCGCAAATGATTCAGCTTCTTCTTTAGATATTTATCGACTGTTTATAAATTAATATTTTTTTGTTTTATATATATAATATAAATTATTAATTATATTTAGTTAAAATAAATTTTAATTATTGATATATTTTATTTTTACTTTTCTTCTTTGTCTTTTTTATTTCCTATCAAGGCAAAAACTATATATTTATTTCCATTTGTTTTTATTTCTTAAAGCCATTTAGATATATTTTAAAAGCTTTCTTTTCTATAAGTTGTTTTATAAAATAATAAATATATAAAATATATTATAAAAAAATAATATGGTATAAATAATCATTAATTCAAAACTAACTTTTTTTTTTACTATATTTAACTTTGTAATATCATATACTAATATTGCTCCTATAGCTGATCTATAATAAGATTTTGTAATTGATTTGAAATTTTCTTAACCTGCCTATTATTAATAATTAAATAATAAATGCTCAAATTATAATCTTATTTCTATATTTTTTTATTATTATTTTATATTACAGTATCCCAAATCTAAAGCTTAATATTTTTTTGATTTACACGAACAGTTTTCACAGCAAACTCTATTCCAATTGTTACATCATGTCTTTCTTTTACTCTTCCATCAGTAAACTATAAAACTAAACATGATTTACCTACTCCTTTTTTGTCAAAAAAATATAAATTATTACAATTGAAAAAAATTATTATTTCTAGTTTATATTTTTAATTTAATTTAATAATTTTAGATACCAGTATCGCCAATCACTATATATTTAAATAAGTAAAAATAAGAATTCATACTTAAATAATTATTATTATTATTTTTATTTTTTTTGAATAATAAATTTTAAAGTATTTATAATAATTGCAAATTCTTATAAATTATATTATATTAATGCCCAAAAATATAAATTTTTTTTTTAAAAATAATTAATAAAAGATATATTTATAATTAATTTTTTTATTCAAAATATATTTATATCTAATATAGATTAATCATGTTTTATTATCCATGGTTCTATTTAATTTTCTTTCGAAGTATTAATATTACTATTAAAAGAATTTTTATATTAGAATTTTAATAATTATTATCTAAATCTATTTACTTTTAAATATTTTATTATTTCGATTAAATGTTTTGGTAAATGAGAGATATTTTTTAAGTTTTAGAATTTTTATTATCTAAACAATTTTCTCTATCTTTTAAATGTCATAAATTTAATTAAACTAATTGTTTAAAATTTATAATTAATCTTTTTAGTATTAGTTTTACGAAAACAATTTTTTTTTTTTTTGATAAACTTTCATTTTATTAAGTTTTGCTATTTTAGAATATTTTATTTTTTTATTTCATAAAATCTTCTTTATAAAATCTATTTATATTATAAAATGAACAAGAAATAGACTTTCTTCCAGTCTAATTTAAATTAATTTAAGGTTTATCTTTACAAATGGTATTTCTTTCATAACTTAATGCGAATTTTTATTTTTTTTATTATTTTTAGACTCAAGTTTAGATTTGGTAGGTGATAAATAATTTAATAATTATTTTTATTCTTAAACTTAAAGTTATTAATTTTGTGATAATGCATGTTTTTTAAATATTTGTTATTTTATTTATTTTTAATTATTTTGCTAATTTTAATCATTAAGCGAGTTTTTTAAAATTTCTTTTTGATCATCTTATTAATTATTATAATAATAATTTTCTTCTGTTTAGTTATTTTTGTCATTTTATTTTAATATTTATTAATTATTACTACAAATGAAATTTTGAAATGAATTTTAAAAACATTTATAGTTTTCTCTAATTTTTTATTCTTGTGATTTTTATATATTTATTTAATTTTTTTTCACTAATTAATTAAAATATTTTTAATACGCAGTTTCATTTTAAATTATATTTTTTCTATGAACTTATTAATTATTTGAAAAATATAAATCATTATTTTTATCATTAATTTTAATTATCTATTATTAGTCTATGATAGAAGTTTTTTAAGGTTTGTTAAATATTTAACTAAAAATATTTTTATTACTAAATGATTTGCGATAAGTTTAATTCCCGTACTTTACAATAAAATTTGGGTGTAATGGAAAAGCTTATTTAATTTATTCAAAACTTTTTTATTTTTTAGATTAAATGTAAATTTTTAAGGCCTTCTTTTCTTTTGTTGATGATAATTTTTTAACTGAAAATTATTATTGTTTTAGCTTAGTTGTTTTTATAATTAAGCCATTTGAATTTATATTTTTAAATACATCTTATTAGTTATATTAATTATCTTAATAGTTTCCAGTATATTAAAACATCTATTATAAATTATAAAAATTATAGTTTATTCTTGTTAAAATTTGTAAGTATTTTTTATTTTATGAATAAATAATTTATTAATAAAAATAAAAATATTTTTTTTTTTTTTTTAAAAAAAAAAAGAATGAATATATTATTATTAAAAATTTATTAATAAATATAATAAAATAATAGCTATTTACTTTAGCAAATATTTTAATTAATATTCTTCAATAATTTTTTATTTATATAATAATGTTTTTCTATTTAATTTTTTTTTTTTAAAATTTACATTGTTTTTATAATTTTGTAAATTTTAAGAATATAAATTTGTAAATAGCAATTATATTAATTATTAATATAAAGTAATTCTTTCTTTATATTTATTTCATATTTTCATATTAATTTTTATAAAAAAGTTTATAAATTTATATGATTTGTTAAAAATTAAATATCAAGAACATAATTCGATATATTTTAATAAGATTTAAATATTTGTTTAAATTAGCATAAAAATAAATTGCATTGATAAAGAAATATTTTTTTTTAAAAAAATAGTATTTATTCTTATATAATCAAAACTTAAATGTATTCAAATAAAATGATTAAACATAATTTAAATCAATAGAATCATAAAAACTTAAATATAATATTAAATAAAAAAAACATGTAAGTACAATTAAACAAATATTTTTAAACAATACATCAAAATAATTTAATAACAATAATTAGCTTTTATAAATAAAATAGAAAATCTAAACTAAATTAAAAATATTAGTTAAACTATATAAATTAAACTAAATTAAATAATGCAATTAAAGCTTTAATCATTTAGAAAAACTAACAAATATTTATTTTAAGGTTTATATAAATAAACAAATTTTTATAAATAAAAACAATAAATATTATAATATTATTATTAGTATAACATTATAAGAGAAATAGGAGAAAAATAATATAAGTTTTGCTAAAAATATTGAATAGAATAAATAAAATAAATTTTGCATGAACAACTTAAGCTATAAAAAGGTTAGTAATAATATCTTGAATAAAAATATAATATAACTAAAATAAAGAAATATTAATAAATGAAAAAATTATTTTCTTTTTTTAAAAAAAAGTGAAAAATGTTTAAAAATCCAAAATAAAAAATTAATAATTTAAGTATTAAGGCTCTTAATTAAATAATATTGATTAAATAACTAAAATAATTATTTAATTATCAGAAGATATATAAATAAATCAAATAATATTAAGTAAGATGAAAATAATTTATTGTAAAGCAAATAAATACAAAAATCGATATAAAATTATATCTTATCGCAAAAATAAAATAAAATTAGTTTTTTAAATATTATGTTAATAACAAAAAATATAAAAAAAAGATTTTGATTTTTTTTTAATAAAAAATAAATAATTTCAATAAATATATAAATTTTATTTATATTAATAATTAAAATTAAAAAAACTATTAATATTGTTTATTATATTTAAATAAATAAACATTTATTAATTTCATAATTTAATAATAATTTTATTAATATATATTTTATTTTTTAATTCATTTAGATAATAAATGAACATTAATATAAATTAAAATATAAATGAAAATACTATTTAAAAATTCAAAATATATATAAAAGAGCAATAGGCATAAAATAAAGAAAATTTATTTTTGCTTTCAATTTGTATATTTCTAATACAAATATCAGATATTTTTTCATTTATTTTTGAGTATGATTTAGAATGTAAACCTTTATTAATAATATCACTTATTAGATTAACTATTATAGTTCTTTTTTTAATAATGCTTAAATCAAAATAATATAAGACATTAACTCTTTATTAAAAAGATTTATTGCTTTGTATTTATAATTTAGCAATTTTTATTTTAGGAATAGAAGAAATGATGATGCAAACACATTATTTTTTTAACAAAAATTTAATAATATCTTTTGAACTAATTATATTGATGCTATTTTTTCTAAAAGAATTATAATCTTTCAAATTCTCTTTATTTATAATATTCTCAGGGGCTGTATTCGTTACAATAAGACTTTTCAATTTTAATTAAATATCAATCACTATTTTATTTATTTTTCAATTTTATATTCTTATTTTATTTGTTATGTATGCATCTGTTAAACATTCAATAAATATAAATAGATATTTAAAGTAAGTAACAAATACAAAAGAATAAAATTTAATTAATAATAAAAATAAGTAATCATATGTATATAACAATAAAAATTAATCTGGATTTCCTATTATTATCGCCAATCAGGAAAATTTTGAATTATATAATTTAGACTTGTATAATATTTAATAAAAAAATAAAATTAAAAAATAAGAAAAAAATAAAAGTCCTTCATTAAATTATAGTTTATAAAATTCCAAAAATCAGACTTATAATTAGATAAATACTAATTCAATAAATGGTGTTAATTTAAATAAATAATAATAAACATAAAATAGTTAGAATTTATAAATTCTTAATTTAGTTAATTTCTATAATATGTTCTTTAATATTATTCCTTAAGGAATTGCTATTATTCCTACGGATTCATCAAGTCAAGTAAATAAATTAAATATATATATATATATATATATGCTTTTATTTCTTATTAGAAAACTTAAATAAACTAAACATTAAATCAATATTTAGAATGTGATAACAAAGAAGAATGTATAGAACTTCTAAAAAGCTTTAAAAATACATTAGATACTAATGATAAATTCAAATAAAACATTAAATATTAATAGTAAGGATAGTGTTAAGATTAAAATTTGATAAATAGTCTAACTAGAAGAATAACATTTCTTGATTAATCTAACCTAAATAATGATAATTTTAATAATGCATTTAATATAGTAAATGAAAATTAAGATAAAGATGCTATATCTGTTCAAAGGGTTGATAGATGTTATTCTATTACTAATTATTTGACTGATAATTAAATTCTTAATTTATAAGATATAAAATTAAAAAGATTTAATATAGTTAATCCATCTTCATATCAAATTTAAATAGTACTAATATAATTTTTCCTAAATAAAAATGTATTTATATATTAAATTAATATAAAGATATAATCCACAAGTGATTCTGTCTTAAGTGAAATATAATCACTTCATGTAATTTAAAAATTAAAAAAATAATAACAAAACATTTTATTTATTTATATTAGAAATAATTAAAAAGCCTAAAATTTTTAGAAAATTATGAAATGATAGGCATCTAAACAAGAATGTTTACAAAATATGAATTAAAATCTAAAAAGATAAAATACTTTGAAATAATGTTCATTCCATGCATAATAAACAAAGAATAAAACATTCTTTTAGTTATAAAGGACATATCACACTTTAATGAAATAGAATTATTAAAAGTTTATTTATTTTTTTAAAAAACAAAAAAATCTAAAAAATAAAAAGTAAATAGATTAAAATAAAAGCTAAATGTTGAGTTAAGTAGCACATGAAATACGAACACCATTAAATTGTATAATTGGAATGTTAGAAATATGTATTAACGAAGTTTAGGAAAACATAAAATAATATTTATCTCCAGCATTAATAAGTGCGAAGTTATTAAGTAATTTAATATAAGATTTACTTGATTTAGCTTAAGTAAAATAAGGTAGATTTAAAATATGTAAATAAAATTTAGAACTAAGAAAAGTATTAGAAGAAATAATTTAATTAATGTAAATTCAAGCAGAAAGCCATAATTTAAAATTATAAATGGAATTTGATGATAATTTACCTCGGTTTATTTGTTCAGATGCTTTAAGAATCCGATAAATAATAATAAATTTAATTGGAAATGCAATAAAATTTACAAAACAAGGATAGATATTAACACATGTTAGTATATATGAAAACAAAAATGAAAATGAACATAATAATATGATTTAAATAAAAGTAAAAGATACAGGAATAGGCATAGATTAAACTTAATAAAGTAATTTATTTAAAGCATTTTCTAAATTAGATGATTAAGAAAATTTAAATCCTTTAGGAGTTGGTTTAGGTCTAATGATTTCTAATGAATTAGCAAAAAAATTAAGTGAACCATATTTTCAAAATACAGGTTTATAAATAAGTTCTTAACAAAATTAAGGAACTGAATTTAAATTTTTAATTATGAATCATAGTTAAACATTTAATATAAATGAAAGCTAGAATCGAAAAAATACTCAATTCCAATAATTAGATATTATAAACGAAGAAAGTATTATTTTGAACTAAATAAATAATAATAATAATAATGATAAAAATAATATTTTAATAGTCGATAATAATAATAATAATTAAAATACAATTAATTCTAATATTGATGATGGGAATATTCCATAAATATAAATTGATAAATTATGCGAAAATACTATTACAAATTTTGATTATTTCAATAAATTTAATAATAATGAAAACAGGGTTCTTAGCAATATTATTGATAGTAATAAAAATATTAATAATAATATTAATAATGATATTAATAATGGTATTAATAATGATAATGCTCATTAGAATATTGTTAGTGAAAATAATAATTAAAATATTGATAATAAATCTACTAACATAAACTAAGTTATTAAAAATACGAATTGCTAATGTAAAAAAATATTAATTGTTGATGATACTAAATTTAATATAATTGCGCTTTAAAGTTATCTTCAAATGATTTTTAATATAAGTTCTGAGGCTGCAGACAGTTATGAATAATGTTTTGAAAAGTTATAAAATAATTTTTGTAATTTATAAAATTGCGTTGGATTTAAAATTATTTTTATGGATATTTGCATGCCTGAAGTTGATGGAATAGAAATAACTAAAAGAATTAGAAAAAATTCGAAATATTAAAATATAATTATTGTAGGTTGTTCAGGATATTCTCCAGAATCTTAAGAATATTAAAATTGTTAAGAGGCTGGTATGAATGATTATCTATATAAACCAATTGATAAATAATAATTAAAATATTTAATTTAAAAATATTATTGATAATTTATTTATTTTATAAAAAAATATAAAAAAAAATATATAATTTATATCAAATAAAAATGGCAAAATATTTTTAATGTATATAAATATCTTTCATTTATTATTATAATTTCATATAAATTAACCTTTTTTGCTTTTTTAGAAGAAAAAAACTCAACTAACTATTCTATAGGTAATATATTTTCCTGCAGTTTCTGAATCTCTTTCTATTTTAAATACCTATTTTATCCTAAGACCAAAATACTTATTAATTGGATCTGTGGGTAATATTTTTGGTAATTGAGAATCTGTTATATTACTATTTTATTAAAAAGTATAAAATAATATTTATTTATAAATACTATTTTTTCATTAATTCCAGTTTTTCAATACAATTTAAAGGAATATGCTTAGGAACTAATTTATGTTTAGTAATGTTTATAATAAAATCTTCATAGTCAAAATATTCAGTTTTGTAGAATTATTTATTTTCTATATTTTTAGTTTAATAAAAGATTCATTATTATTTCAAAATTAAATAATATAATTTCAAATTTAATTATAATATTTTTTTTTTTATTTACCTGGTAAAACAATATCTTTTTTTGATTTAAGTAAGCCGTTTAAACTTAATAATTTTTCAATCAAATTTTTCTACAGCATCCCTATAAAATTTATTCGCGACTTGAGAATACTATTATCAATTTTTTTATTTTTTTATTTTAGTTCAAAAAATAATTAATTACGTCTTAGGCTTTTTTAGAAACTATTTTTTTATCTTCAGGGTTTCCATGAACAAGAATAATACAATTAAAAAAAAAGTAACCATCAGGGTCATTATCCTAATCTTCCTTAACATATTATTATGCTTATTATGCGTATAATTTCAATTCTATATCTGATAAGGGCTCTTTTTTACAGTGAAAAACTTATAAATATTAATACATTCTCATTGCCTTGCTATTCAATTCATCAAAATTAAAATCATGACGAAAAGGAGGAATAAAATCTACTACCAATCCTCTTTCTTTAACCTTTGAAATTAAACCATTTAAATTATCATCTGAATCATATTATTAAAGATTTATATTAGCATCTTTTGAATATCCTTTTTTATTTTATATTTAATTTTTTGCGAATTATGTTTTTATTGCTGTACCTCTATCTCTGGCCATCTCATATAAAGTTTTTACTATTTTCGCAATTTTTTTCGCCTCTTAATATGATGAATCTTGCATTTTTATTATTATTATTTTTTTTTAATTTTTTTTTTATTTTTTTTGGCTTTTTTAATTATATTTTTTTTTATTATTAATAAAATTTGCTTTTTTAGGATAATATGTTTCTTACTAAATATATTTATATTTTTATATAATATAAAATAAATAATAAGTAAAATGATATTTCTTTTTTTATTTATTTCAATTATAAAATAAGAAAGTTAATGAAAATCCAATAGCTATTATAATAATATTAATTTTTTTAGAAAATAGTTCTATAAGAATAAAAAATTATTAAAAAATAATAATAATAAAAAAAATATAATTTTGTTGTTGTTGTTTACTAATATTAAGTGACATTAAATAGTTAATTTGATCATTTATTTACTTTCTTTAAAGTTATAAATCATTTATATTATATATTGTTTAATCATATTATTTTTATAATATTTTAATTCTATTGTCCTAAAATAATTAACTTTTAATAAGAATAAAAATAATAATACATATTCTTCTTTGCTAATTTAAGTATTGTTATTGTTAATTTAAATATTAAGTAATATTTGATCCTCTTTTTTATCATTTTAATCTGTTTCTATATCTTATACTTTTAAAGAATCTATTTTTTATACTTTCTTAGTTAATAGAAGAAACTTTTCTTTTTAAAATTGTTCAAAATTTTACAAATTCTTTTTGATGTTTATACATATTTGTAAAACATATTATCATAATAATTAAATAAAATACTTAATTTAAAATTTCAAAATGTATTAATTTAGAATTATTTTATTCTAAAACTCCATTATGCGGAATTACTCTAAAATTGTTTTTATTTGTTGTTTTTATTTTGAATTAAACTTCTTAACTCGATTTATTTTTTATTATAAGCTAAGCACAATATTTTTTTTTATCTTTTGTTTAAAATTGAATGCAATTAGATGATAAATCTAGATGTCTCATATAAATAATTAAAAAAAAAAAAGAAATATAAAAATATTAATTAATTTAATAATTAATAATATTTAAAATTTTATAATTTATTATATAAAAATAAAATAGCCCAAGTAATATTAGTACATAAAAAAAAATAGTTTATATTTAATATATAAACTAATAGAAAATTTATTATTTTTATTTTCAAATAATTATAATAATAAAAAAAAATTAGTTAACATTTCAATTGTAATAAAACATAAAAAGTTTTTTTTTTTTTATAATAAAATAATAATTTAAAAAAAAAAAATCATTTATCAATCAAATCATTTAACTTTTTATATTTGAAAAATTCTTCATTTAAAGTTGAATTACTTTAAATACTTTTAACATTGCCATATTTTAATTTATATTAAAGCAAATCCCGTCTTGTATCTTAGTCTTAAATAAGTTTATAAAGGGTATGTGCTACCATATCTTATAATTACTTATTATGTTTAAATAACAAAAATGGAGCTATTAATTAAAAAATCAACAAAAATATAAAAATTATTCTAAATATAATTACCTAATTTTTCTACTAGTTTAACAATTTCTTCAATTGCATCATTTATTACCTCATCATAATTAAGAATAAAAGAGCAAATAGCGATACAATATTTTTCGTATTCTGTAATTTTATCTTATGGAAGATTGGGAGGATTTTCTAATTCAGATGTTTTTGGCAATAATTAAGAAAGTGCTGTAATTACTGAAAATTCAAAAACTCTTTTATCTCCATTTTATACTGAAAAAACCTAGTTTTTTATATATATTTAAATAAAAAAAGAAAAAATAACTTCTTTTAAATAATTTAAATTATGAGCTAAAATACTAGTAATGACTAAAAATCCATCAGGTAGCTCAGAAATATTTTTTAAAGCCTATTTGACATCAATTCTAAGATTTTCATCTTTACTATCAAGCAAAGAAATAAGTTTTTTAATAATTTCATCATTTTTAACGTAAGTGCATTACTTTTTTCCATCCAAATGAATACTACAATTCATTATTAGAATAGAAGAATATTTTCTTTCTTCTTAGATATGTGAATCTAAAAAGTTACTAGCAGTATTTATAATATATAGGTCTATTCCTTCTTGTTTTCCCTCCATATTAACAACTATTTTAGCCAAACAATCCAAACATAAATAATTTATTCTCAAACTCCATTATTTGTCATAGTAGATATTGTTTTCATTTTTTAATATTTAATTTAAACGAGCGACTATTCCAGTTCTAATAAAAAATATGATGCCATTATCATATTATAAAATGTTTAAGAAAGCCTCTAAAATACATACAATAAATTTTGCTTCTTTTATGTTTGGATTTTCAGTATATTATAAAAACGAATTTACCATGTGTTCTATTATTTTTGCTTTACATAATTAATCTACACCATCTCTTCCTGTTATAAACCTACATAAAGCCCATGCACATGCTTCTCTTTTTTATGAAAAACCAAAATATTAATAAAAATATAAAATAATATTTTATTTACCTTGCCTATAAATTTTAATCAAATAACATTTTTTAAAAACCTTCATATGTAGTATCCAAAACATGTTATCTTCCTCTCATTATTGTTACTAAAGAACCAATTAAAAGTACTGCTTCTCTTCTTATTTCTACTAATTTATGGTGGAGAAAAGCTGAAGCTATAGCTACTAAACCTGAACTAATCATTATATCTTTGTTTTCTTAATGAGATACCATTTCGTTTAAAGTAATTAAAGCATCTCTATATTTAAATGCTTCTATGTCAGGCATTAACAATATTTCAATTAATTTTGGTATACTTCTATCAAATGCTGCGTGATATACCTTTTTATTTATTATTTCAATATTATTTTTTTTATAATAATATTTTTGAGTTTAAAAAAATGTAAACCTCTGTTTTATCATATCTATCATTAAATTCAGCTTCTAAATATGGGTATCGATCTTTTAAATGCTCTGATACTATGTGAAGTTTGAATGATTGCATAATTTTAAAGTTAATAATTTTTTTAAAAAAGGAAACGCTTATTATATATATTTTTATTAAAATAAAATAATTTTTTTAATCTCTATAAATATGTATTTTTTATATTTAATTCATAAAATAACATATAATTAAAGTTTAATATATCTTTAATACCAATCAAATATAATTTTAATTTATTGTATTTAGTTTTAACTGGTATTAATTATTATAAATATGGAAACAGCTTATTATTTTGTAATAAAATTCAAATATTACTTACAAAAAAAAAATATATATAAATTTAATAAAATAATATAATAAATGATAATAATATAATTTATTTTCCTAATTACTAAACTATTTTATAAATATAATTATAAATTTTAAATTTATAAAAATTTATGGTTTATTTAGAAATCATTTAATAAAACAATAAATAGTATTTAACGATAAAAAATAATAAATACATTTTAAATTTTCAAAAGTAAATTTAAAATTTGCTAAATAAAATAATAACTTTTTTATAATATATAAAATATTAAATTAATACGAATAGAATTATTAATATTTTAATGTTTTAAATTCAAACTTAACAAAATAAAATAATTAATCCATTAAGTCCATTATTAAATAAAATTAAAATTTCAGAACAAGAATTAAATAATGAAATGTAATTAGAATAAAAATAAAACAAAAATTTAAAATTAGAATCTAAAATTTATACAAAAGATAAAAAATAAAAAGATAATATTTAATTAGTTTAATCTTTAGAATTTAAAATTAAATAACTTGAAAACGAAAATTAGGAATAAAAGATAATCCTCTAAAAAAAAAATAATGATTAAGATAAATAAAGTCTAGAAAATTATATTAAACTATTAAATTCTTAGACAGAATAATTAAATGTATTTTTATCAAAGTTTGATAATATATAAACATTTTTATTATTTTTTTGAAAAAAATAAATAAAAAGGAAACAATCTAGAAGCAAAATCAAAAATGTTTCACTTAGAATACAAGCAATCTTTTTTCTGAAAGTAGCAGCAATGAAAGTATTACCGAATAAAAAATGAATAAATTGTTTAATAAAAATTAAATAAATATAAATTAATATTAAAAAAATAAATCACTATAATAATAAGAAATATTGAAATTAGGATTTTAACTAATTAAATAAATTTAATAATCATAAAAAGTGCTAAATATATATACTTTAGAAAATGGATCAACAGAAAATTTAAGAAGATTATTAATTCAGTAATAAAATTCTTAACTTTAGATAATTTTAATGAAATTTGTTATTAAATTAATCTAAACTATCGAATAATTTATTTAATAACCTCAAATTTAAAATTAATAATAGTTATAACAATTGAATTAATATACGTAATTTAAAATGAACGAATTTTAAAATAAAAAGTAAACAATTAAAATTTTTTGAATATAAATATAATATAATTGAATATAAATAAAAAAAAAAGATTTATGAGTTAAAATAATTTATTTGACTGTAATACAGTTCAAAAATAAAATTAATCATCACATAATTAATTTAATATAGATTTAATAAAGTTTAAATAGTAAAATTTATAAAAATAGGCTAATTAGATAAATGATTCTTCTTATCAAAATAAAGAGAATATAAATTTCAATAATTATTTTAATTTAAAAAATCGATAAGATAATTATAAAAATATTTAAAATTAAACTAATTAAACAAAATAATTTAACAATAATTAATTGATTAATAACAATATATAGAATTAAATTAACAATAATTGTATAAAATAAATAAATACAAGTTTATTAAATGTATGCAATATTTCAAATTAAAAAAAAGAAAATAAAGAAATAGATATAGTATAAAAAAATTATATGGATATAATGGCTAAGAAATAGCAACAAAAAATACAAATAAAATATTTAATTCTAAAAAATATATCTTAAGTGAAAACAAAAAATAAAAACTAAAAATAATGAAATTGTATTATATCATTACTCTAAATATATATATATAAAAATTGTCATTTTATTGATTATAATTAACTATATGTTTTTTAAATTTAATATTTATTTGATTAAAATTTCTATTTAAATTATATAAAATTATAAGAATTCTAAAGATGAACAAAATTTATTATTATTATTATTATTTATAAAAGGATAAAAATAATTTTTTTGATTTTTATAATTTGTATTTTAAATATTATTTATGTATTTTTTAAAAAAAATATAAATATAAATATTTATAATTTTTATAATAAAAAAAATTGCTTCATTTTTGTTTTTTAGAATTCAATATTTTTACATTAACTATTTTTTCATAAATAACATTAATTTATTAAGACTTCTTAAATGTTTTTTTTAATTTATATTGCTCCTATCTGTTAAATTTTAAATTTATTAGGAATGTTATTAGTTTAATTATTAGCTTGCTCTTTAAGTCCAAAATCCGTATTAATTTTCAGAATTTTCAGAATTTTAATTAAATATTTTACTAATATTCAATTTTAAATCATATTTTGGTTAAAGACAATTTTAAATTTATGAATTACTTTTAGAAGAAAACTTATTTAAAACTTCTGAATTTTATTATTTTTTATGACTAGTATTTTATACTATAGGAGATTTTATAATTTATTACTATTATATTTAAGAAGAAGGCTATAATAATTTTTTTAAATAGAATTTTTAGAATTAGATTATTTAATTTGATAATCTTGTTAAATTTATCGATTTTATAATAAAAACTATTTTTAGTTTGAATTTGAATTTAATATTTTATTTGCTACGTTAGAATTATTTATATATGATTATCTTGTAAATATTTTTTAAGCAAGCTTTGATTAAGATTTACTTTATAACGATTATTATAATTATTATTATAATTATTATTATATTTATTATTATTATTATTATTATTAGTTTTATTGTTATTATTATTATAAATAGTTTAATTATTTTATAATTTTATTATTATCATTATTTTTATATTTTTTATTTTTTTAATATCTTTATATTAATTACTATTAAAATGTTTAAAGAATTTATATGTAAATTCATCATTTTCATTTTTTTTTATACTTTATTTTTTTTAAATATTTGAATTATTTGTTATTTCTAATGTATAATTTATATTATTATTAATATTTTTATTTATATTTTTTGTTTATTTTTGTTTGGTTATTAAATTCGTATAATTTTTAACTATTTAACTACTTGGAATTTATTTTTAAACTATATTCTTATTATTTTGATCAATTTTTTTTAATTATTTTCTTTATTCGTATTTTTTTAGTTTTATTTATTTTAAGCATTATTTATTATTATATTTTTTTTCTCCTTTATGTGTTATAATTCACCATTTTTAATTATTACTATTGAGTTTGATTATCTTTGATTATTTATTGCATTTTCATTATTAACTATTCTCGGATTAATTTCTCTATCAGTCCATATTCTGTCTATAGAATCAGTAATTTTTGGAATTTAATCAAGTTTTAATTTCTATTTAAGTAAGTTTTCAAGATATTCCTTATTTTATTTATTATTATTTTGATTATGTGAATTATTATCATCTGTTTTATTTAATTTATTTCTTGAAGTAATATTACTTTAAATATTTTCTTTAATTTTATTCATTAATTATTATGAAGATATTTATTAACTTATAATATTTTCATTTTAATCGCAAGTTATTTAATCTTAAAATTCAAATTCATTAAATTAAATAATTTATTATTTTTCATCGATGTTTTATTTATTTAAATTATCGTTATTATCAAATTCTATATCTTCTAAATCATATAAATTTTGTACATATTAATGTAAATAATTAGGTAAAGCATTATCTATTTCTTTTGAAAATGCAAATTATTATTATTATTATAAATTTTTATCATTTTGCCTATTTCTATTACAAATATTAGGATTATTTAATAATAGATTAATTTCAATAGCTTTTAAAGGAGAGCTTTTTGTTAAAAACATATTTTCATTATTATTTTAAACAAAAGAAGCTTCATCAGAATATAATTAAGGTTAATAAACATCATGAACATTACTATCATAACTTATAATAGTATTATTATTTATTTTCTTTTTATTTTTTATTGCAAAATATTCTTTATGGAACTATCAGAAGAAGAAGGAGAAGATATATATAAATGACAGTCCAATATAAAATCTTAATCTTTCATATTCTCTATATTTTTATATTTTTCTTATTTTTTTATACTGTTATGATTATTTTCTCTTTCTAATTTCTATACAAAAGCTTTTGCCTACTTATAATTTCTTCTTGTTATAATTTCTTATTGATTTACAATGCATAAATTCGGTCGGGTTTGTTTATATTGTTTTTCGTAAAAATCAAACAGTAATTCAAGCCTTGATTTAACTTCTTATTTTTTGTAAATTCTTTTTAAATATTCTGTATTATCATCATAAAACAAATAATCTTTAAATAATATTACGTGTGGAATACTTAAATTTGCTAAAATTTCGTTTATTCCTTTTGCAAAATAAAAATTAAATTAATCAAAATATTAGTCGTGTAATCTTTTCTGTATTTTTTTTATGAGAGATTACTTATTTTAAAAAATATTAAAATTCTCCAATTTTTTAGTAATTTTAAATTATGAAAAATCTTATTTATATTATACTATTTCTATATCACTTTAACTAAATGTATCAAATTCTATATTTTTTTCATTTATTATAGTTTTTTTTTTACTTTATTCATAGCAGCTGTTACTTCTTTTATTCATTTTAAGTTTTTATTTTTTGCTTTTATTAAATTCTTATTATTTTTTAAATTAGTAATTATTTTTATTAATATAAAATAAAAAATTTAAAAAATATATATATATTTCAATTTATAATGTTTTTTAAATATATATAAAATAAAAAAATCTTAATAAATTAAATGTGAAATAACTTAATAAATATTATAAAGAAATAAATATTTTACTATAAATTTAAAAATTATTAATATTAAACAAAAATTATATAAGTATATAGAAGTCTGTATTATTTAATGATATTTGTCTAAAAAGTATATTAAAAAAATAAAGTATTTAAAATAATTTATATTTTTTTTATAAAAAAATTATGAAATATTTAAATATATATTTGTTAAATAATTAATTAAAAATTCATATTAATTAATTTTAGATTATAAATTTTCTTAATAATAAAAATGTATATTGTATAATTATTAATTAAGTTAATATATATTATTAAAATAAAAAAAAACATATCTTTATAAATTAAAATCGTTTATTGTATGTTTATTTCAAAGATAACATTATTTATATTAATTTATTTGTCTTAATTATTTTTAAATAATTTTTATAACATTAAAAATTATTTTATCTTATCATGTCGTAAAATCTTAATTTTTTAAAATCATTATTTATTGAATTTCAATATTTTATTAATTAATTTATAATTAATACAAACTTTTACAAACTTTTGTTACTTAAAAATTATAAAATAAATAGTGTTAAATGATTTTGTAAAATATAATTAAAAAAAAAATTTGATTTTGAAAAATTATATAGTAAATTAAAAATTTTATAATTAATTATTGATATTATTATTAAAAAGAAATAAAATAAATAAATATATATATATATATATATATATATATATATATATATATATTAATATATAAAAAATTAAATTATATATTATTTTTTTAATATTTTTTTATTTTAAATTATTTGATTAATATATGCTTAATGTCATAAATTATTATTATATAAAAATTAGTTATTATTTTAATATAACTTTATTCTAAAATATATATTAATTATGTTAATAATTTATTTTAAACACTCTAATATTTAATTAAAACATTATTGTCAAACATTTAATTCAAAAAAAAATTTTATATTGATTATTTTATAAAAATATTGCTTATAGCTTTTATAATTATAACAAATTAAAAAAAAAATATGATTGTTTAAATAAAAAAAAATATATATTTTTTATGTATAATTATTATAATATTTTTAAAATTTATTAATTTTTAGTAATTATTAATATAACAAATAATAATTATAATTATTCTATTATTATTTTACTTTATTTTTATAAATATTATTATTATTATAATAATAATAATAATAATAATAATATATAATATTATTATTATTATTTAATTATTATTATTATTATTTTTATTTTTATTATTACTTTACTATTATTATTTTTATTATTTTTTAAAACTATATTATATTATATTATTATTTTTTTTTTTTTTTTTAAATATATTTTATTATTCTTTTTATTTTTTATTAGAATTTCTAAAATTGTTTAAAACCTATTTTTTTTAATTATACTCTTCTTTTTACTTAATTTTTTATAATTTTTTTTAAAATTAATATATTTATATATATATTCATTTTTAGTTTATTTTAATATTTATTTTTATTATTAAATTTGATTTTATTTTTAAATTTATATATATATTTTTTTAAACTTATTTTAAATTTAATTTTAATATATTTTAATTTAATAACTATGTTATTAAAGTTTATTTAATTATAAAATTTATATGAAGTTATTTTAATGGAATTAATAATAATTTAAATTGATAATTGTTTTTTTTGTAAAATAGAAAGTTTAAATTTTTTGATTTAATTATAATATAAAATATTTTTCCAATTTATTATAGAATTTTCCATTTATTTATAATGAAATAGAAATAGGTAAAAAATAAATAAATAATGTTTATTATATTTAATATTTTGGTATAAGAAATAATTGATAAGTTTTTGTGTATATTTTTAATTAATTAAATAAAAAAATATATAATAAAAAAAATGTACTAAAATTAATATTAAGGACATTATAATTAAAATATGTAAACATTTGATGTAGAAAATCCTATGGTCGATCCATATTAAAATCAAAATAATAAAAAAGAGAAAAAACATAAAAAGCATAGAAAAAGTAGCGAAAGCAGTTAAAGCAGTAACAGTAGTGACAAAGATTTAAATTAAAATTTGTATAGTTCTGAAGGATTAAGTTCTGATAAATATTTAAGGTCTGGTTTTGTAACAAAAGTATATTCTATTTTAAGTGTATAAATGCTTTTTACTGTAATGATGTCTGCTTTTTCGATGTCTAGTGATCATTTTAGAATGTTATAATTAAATAACTAAGGACTAATGATTCTTATTATTATTGTTTAAATTGTCGTTTTATTAGTTTTGATATGCTCTAGAGATATGGCTAAAAAAGTACCAACGAATTATATTTTATTAGGAGTTTTTACTTTTTGTGAAGGTTATATAGTGGGCTTCATTTGTGCTTTTACTGATTAAAAACTTGTTTTTATGGCCGTATTTATGACTATGTCTATATTTTTTGCTTTAACACTTTATGCATGCACTACTAAAAGCGACTTTACTTTGATGGGAGGGTTTTTATGCGTTTTAGGCATGGTTTTGCTAATTTTATGTTTGTTTATGATGTTTACTAATAATAAGATTATATAAATTATTTATTCTTCTATCGCAGCTTTAATGTTTGGACTTTATATTATTTATGATACTTAGTTAATTATTGGTACTAAAAGTTATAAATATGATATTGACGATTATGTTATTGCTTCACTTGAACTTTATATGGATATTATTGGACTATTTTTGTAATTGCTTGAGTTGTTAAAAGCTTTGCAATCTAATAATTCAGAATGATTTATATACTATTTTATGTATTTTCTTTTTGTTATTTTTGTTATAGAATAATTATTAATAAATGTATTTAATTATTAAATATTTTTTGAATTTCTAATATTTTTATTTATTTATTTTATTTTAAACTTATAATATTCATATTTTAATTTTTTCGTTTAAGAATATTATTATAATAATTAAAATTGTATATTAACAAAAATTAAATTAATTTTTAAGAATATACTATTAATAAAATATAATTGATAATCAAGTAAAAAAATAAAAATAAAGCCTTATTATTTTTTAATCACCAGAATGAATATTTTTCGAACCAAAGAAAGCGTCTAACTAAAAACTTCCTAGTTTCTTCCCATAACATAACAGCAATAGAAAAAGGCAAAGCAGGCATAGCAAATTACCACCAAGTAAGTGGTCTTGCTCCGAAAACTTTTTAAACGCCAGGAACATAAAGCAAGAAAACAGCAATTAAAATTTCTACTAGAATGCCTATGAAAATAACTTTATTAGGAGGGGTAAGATAATAGGGGTTTCTTCTAGATTTACAAGCGAAAACATTAGAAATTTAAAAGAAAATAACAGCCACGAGCCAAGCCGATTATCCATATTTCAAAGCATCAGTAGTATAACAGGCTGTAACCCCACTAATTGGAGAAATGTTATTTTCTTTATTACAATAATTAAAAGCGACTTGAGGAGTCCATAGGCCAGTACTTTTATTACAATAAATGAACCCTTTTCTTAAATCGAATTGTCCATCTTAGTCTGAAAGCCAATTAACTTTCCAAGTAGAGATTTTCGGATTATTAAGATCTTCCATACAGTTTAGAGAGTTTTCGTTCATAAATTCTTTATTAAAATACGCACAATCATTTTTATATGTGTTTTTACAAAAACCTCCATCTTAGAAATCACCAGCTGGTGGTTTATGTATTCCATCTCTAATAGCCATTCCAAATAAGGATTTAAGAGGAAAACCTAATTAATTCATAGTTGTAAAATAAGCTGCACAGCCTCCTCCAAAGGCAATAGGCCCCATAAGCAAATATGCATGAACAACAATTTTCATAGATACCAAATGTTCAGATTTTTTACGAGGTTTTCTAGTCATTACATCTATTTCAGCAAATTCATAACCTAAAGCAATTGCAGGAACTATATCAGTACCTACACAGAGAATAATCATGAAAATATTAGATAATGGAAGGGGTAATTAAAAAAAGATAAAAGCTGTAAAAGGAAAGATTTCAGGAATATTAGTTGTAATTACATATACTACTGCCTTTTTTAAATTATCGAAAATTTTTCTACCTTCTTCAACTCCGCAAACTATTGAAGCGAAATCATCATCTAATAAAATCATATCAGCGGAGTCTTTAGTAACATCAGATCCTGAAAGGTTCATTGAAATTCCTATGTCACCTTGCTTTATTGCCGGAGAATCATTAACACCATCCCCTGTAACTGCACAAATATGTCCTTCAGCCTAGCAAGCTTTTACTATTTAAAGTTTTTATGCAGGAGTTGTTCTGGCGAATACACAATATGGCTTTTTTACCCATTGTCTAAGGTAAGTGAATTCGGGTATTCCCTCAAGAACTTCTTTATTTAAAGATTTCACTATTTAATCTCCATGGACTACTATTGCTTTACATTTTTCTACTGCGGAATCCCAATCTAGCTTTTCTTCTTCCATTATTTCGATATTGGTTTTTATTCTTTTAGGTATTATATTTACTTAGCGGGCTATAGCAGCTGCTGTAGGTGGTTAATCGCCTGTCACCATTATTACTTTTATTCCGGCAGACCTACATTCTAATATGGCAGCTGGGACTCTAGTTTTGGGAGGGTCAATCAATGAAATTAAACCTAAAAAGGTGAAATCAGACATTTAGAAATTATATTTTTCAACAGTAGAAACTTAAAATTGACACTTATTTAAGGGATAAGATATTCTTGGTAAATTTAATTTAGCAAATCCTAATACTCTTTAGCCTTGTTTTCCGAATTAATCATTTATTTTTTGAAATTAATGTTCCCATTATTCATCTAATTATTCTGTTTGGTTATTGTTTAGTACTTTTGAACAAAAAGTCCATATTTTCTCAGGAGCTCCTTTTATATAAATGCAATAATCGCTGTTTTCCGTTTATTCCTCTACAACAACTAAAGCAAATTTTACAGTTGAATTAAAAGGCATTCTAGCCTCTTGCCCATCTATTTGTTTCGCGATATTTATTTTTTTACGTGTACTTTCTATGTCTTCGATATATTGATAGAATCTAATAATTCCTGTCTCTGTTGCATCACCTATAGCTGAGCATTTCTTATAATCTATATTATCTTTATTTAAATCGTTAGAAATATCGAATTTGGCTTCACTAGAGAGAATTGCGGCTTTATGCAAAGCTTAAAAACAGGTATTGTTTTCATCATATAATTATGGTTAGGCTTATGTAACAAGGCTTTTATTTATTGCTTTTATTACATTTTGATTATACCACAAGTTCTCTACTGTCATTATATTTTGTGTCAAAGTACCAGTTTTATCAGTACATATACAAGAAGTAGATCCTAAAGTTTCTACTGCCTCTAGATTTTTCACCAATACATTTTTAGCAGCTAAAATTTTAGCTGTAATAGCTAAACAGATGGTAACTTCTCCCATTAAACCTTCCGGTACGTTTGCAACAAGGATTCCTATCCCGAAAAGGACACAAGGCAATACTGGGTATCCGATAACTTACCAACCTAAAATGAAGAATAAAAAAGCAAGAATACAAGCTAAAATAATTACGTATTTTACCAATAAATCTAACTCTTGCCTTAAAGGTGATTTCGCTTTTTAGTCATTTTATGTTAAGTTTGCAATTTAACCTAAAGTTGTAGAATCTCCAATTCTTACTACAATGCCTTTTGCTTATCCTTCTTTACATAGAGTACCGAAAAAAGCCAGATTTGCAGTTTCTAGTGGATTATCGGGATGGGTACAGATATTAGTTCTTAATTAAGGCTCAGCTTCTCCTGTTAAAGGGGAATTATCAACTTTCATTTCTGCACTTTACAGAATCCTTATATCAGCCGGAATCTTTTCTCCAGCTTTAACTTTAACTATATCTCCACATACAAGCTTAGCTGCGAGAATAACTTGAGTCTTTCCTTCACGAATAACAGTGCAATTTGAAGGTAAAAAACTTTTAAAAGAATCCATAAGTGCTTCCGAAGCTAAATTTTATTAAAAAGTAATTGTTCCAGAAACAATAATTAAGGCAATTAAAACTATCCCTAAATATAAATTAGAAGGATCTGATTCATCTAATCCATAAGAAAGGAAACACAAACCAGCTCCTGCCCATAATAAACATGCGAAGGCGTTAGTAATTTCATGTATAAATTTCAGCAAAAGAGAACTCTTTTCTTTAGCTGTTAATATATTATCTCCGTGAATTTTATTTTATTCTATTGCGTAAACTTCGGTTATTCCATTTTCATAATCTGTATGATATTTTTCTTTTAAGGCTTCTAAAGATATACGATGGTCATCATATACTTAAGAATCGAGATTAGCAGCGGCTTTTTTTTTCAATGTTTCTCCTTTTTGAACTTCTTAATCTTTTTTTTGATTAGTTGCATCTATAAAATTTATATTTGATAATTATTATTCGTTATTATGTAAATCAATTTCGTAATTTAATAAAGGAGCACGATTACCTGCTGCATATTCCTTAGTTGCTGGATATGCTTTAGCGTCTAAATGTATATTAGGTTAATTGCTTTGTCTTTCTTAACGAAGTTAGTTATTTATTTGAACCTATTGTTTTAAGGCTTCGAAGTTTCGAACTATTTGAGATGATCTAGAACCTCTATGAGAACCTCCAATAATCATTTTTTTTTAATTTAAAATATTTATTTATTTTATATTAAGAAAATATATTTTAATTAATATATTTTATTTATTAATATTTTTTTTAGTGTTTTATTTTATATTTTAATTTTTAGAGTATGTTATAATAATATTAAATTTTTAATCTTCTAATTATTTTTTTCTATTTCGAAATTTTTGTTTATTTTTATACATGCGCTTTCAATTATATATCTATTTCACGTTGATAATGTTTTTATTTTATGAGTAATTAGAAATTTTATTTAAAGATTCAATCAACAAAAATAAATGCAAATAAAATGGGAAAAATGCTTATTTTTATATATAAAAATATTTTATAAAAATAGTACAAAAAAAAGAAATAATATTATATATTATTTATTTTTTATATAAATAATATAGAGTATTTTATTAGTTATATATTTTTTTCAAAACATATTTAATTATTATTATATATTATATTAATTATTATAATTAATTTTTTTATTTAATATATAAATTAAATATTTTTGTATATTTTATTTTTTATTAAATTTTTTTTTAAAAAAATATAACATATAGATATTAAGAATAAAATTAATATATTTAAAATATATAATAATTTTTTGCTTAAATGCATTTTTAATTTTTTTAAAAAAAATATATAATTATTATTATAAAAATAATTTACTATATATTTTTAATATTTAATAATTTAAAGCAATATTTTAAATATATATAGTAGTATAATTATAATTTTTGTAATAAAATAAAATAAGTAATATAATATAAAAAATTTAAAAATATATAATAGAAATAAATATTAATAAAGCAAAAAAATCATAAAAATATATTTACAAAACATAATTTACTTAATATTTTATTTATTTTTATTTGAAATTTTAATATTATTATTTATTTAATTAATATTCATATTCATATTTGTTTATATTGTATAATTTAATAAAATTACTATTTTTTTTCTTCTTAGAACTAATAGTATGATAATTTTAATTAAAAAACTTTTTAAACTAAATATAGAATTTCTAAAAAAAAAAAATAATAATATATATAATATAATTATTATATAT